CTTCCTTTCATTTGAACACTTAGAGACCATTGTAGAGTTATTATTTGGCCTAATTTTAATATTGCTGTATCTTAGGGAACAGGGACCCCTGAGGAGAGGTAGGGAGATGGGGGAACAGCTGGTCAGTGGAGCAGTCTGAACACATGATACATTTGTCAGTTAATTTCACCTTCTTGTATCAGCATGATTCATGTTATCCCCAAATAATTACATTGCTAACATCAAATATTATTGATCACAGATCACTGTAAAATATATAACAAAAATAAAAATGTTTGAAATATGGTGAGCATTACAAAAATGTGACAGGTAAGAAGTGAGCACATGCTGTAGTTTTTTTTAAAAAAAGGACAGATCGACTTGACACAGGGTTGCCAAAAACCTTCAATTTGTAAAAAACACATTATCGGCCAAGCCCAATGAAAGCAGTTAAGCCTGTACAGGAGAACCGTCACTGTCTTCCTCATGTTGGGTGAGGTCCACTGCAAGTAACAGGCCAGCAGTTGTTCATCTGATTCCTGGTGTGTGGAACAATATTAAGGTTCAGGAGGAGTCATTTCTCTTGGCAAGTGGGATACTCATAAGTGCCAGTGGCCATGTGAGCCTAAGTTAGTTGAAATAACATTGTTGAGCCTGCCTATGGCCTTCCATGACATTGGTTCATTGGTTTATGAGATTCAGTGGATAAGCTTGGAAAGGTAACTGACAAAGGTCTGTGTATTGGGTCATCTTAGTTAGTCAAAGGCCCCTGCTCAGTAATAATGGCCTTCAGACACATTTTCACTTGGAAAACATTGATGTTTAAGCTTGGCCCATTTTTGAATGGTCCAGTCATAGCTCTTCAAAATGATTATGTCTCCAAGCCTTCAGCTATATTTCTTCTAGGGCCATACAATCTATATAAACCAATAGTCAATGTCATTGAATTACCTCTCTCTCTTTGCAAAGTGACCATTAGATATGAATCTTGGAGTTTACCCACTGTGGTGATTTTCATTGTTCTAGGGCATCCTTGGTTATGGTAATGATGTGACATTAGTCCACCCTCCGCTGTTAGGAGGACTTCATCCAGCATAGCATTATTTGAGACATACATATAATGAGGACTTTCATAGGACACAATGACTTAATTCTTAACATCAGGCAAAGTTATTTCATTCATAGTCTTTGGTCCTCCTCTGAGGTAGAAAAACATTTATGATTAACATACCCATTTTGTGAGCATTTTAGAAATAAATATTACAAAGAAAATTTCTGTAACTAGAGAAGGTATTACATCTGCTCCTGAACTCCAAATTTTGATGGAAAGGAAGAGGAAGAGGAATCATCTTAAACCATATAATTAACATAATATTTTTTACCTATGCATAGTTTGCATATATAAATATATATATATATACTTAAACAATCTTATTTAGACATGCATACATGTTTACATATGTATATACAGACAATAATTTGCTCAATATTAATATATGCACTGATAAGTATGGCATATACTTACATGCATATTTTTATATAATTATGATTAATTTTATTATTTTGATTCAAAAATTATTTAGTTTTTTTTTCTTTAATCATTTCTTAATATCTTTATTAATGAATTTTTAAATACTTATATCTATGCTATCAACTTTGATAAAGTACATCTCTATGGGTGGATGTAAATATTGTACTGGTCAGCTTTTGCATAATAATTATTGGTGACCAAAGCACTCAAAACTGAGTGGCTTATAGTAGAAAGCATTTATTTCCATGTTTCCAGATGCCCATGTTAACAATGATCCCACTGATAAAGGCAGGGCTCAGCTGGGTGATTCTGCTGCAGGGCGCTGCACTTGTCTCCATCCTATGGATTACGTTTGATCTGGGGCCACGGCTGAAGTGCAGTGAGGACCCATGGCACAACATTCTGATGAAAAATGGCAGTAACGAAGCCCCCGAATCAAGCTGCACAGTATCAAAAGTTAAAATTCCAAAAAAATTAGTTTAAAGATCTCGCTTAGCCTTTATTTGCGATTCTAGAATTGGGCAAAACCACATTCTATAAAACAGAATGAGTGTTCTGATGAGCTGTAAAGAGGTGGTTGGTTTCATAGAAAGTAAAAAGGTGAGGAAAGCAGAAACAGAGAACAGAAAGTGGATTTTTAGTTTCAAAGTTACTCTCCTAGTAAAGATAAAAGCAGAGGGAACTTTCTTATAAAGGGTAGGTAAGTTATTTAGATTCAGCTTGGTGATGAGGAACTTTAGCATGAGGAACTCCATTTTGGTTTGATCTGCTGAGCTCTTCATGCATGAGCTCAGTGCAAACAAATGACCTTCTATAAACTTTAACAACAGGCATATTTAAATCCAGTAATCTCTAACACCAGTGCACAAATCTTAATTTTTTGTATTCGTCTTTGTAATTCCTATAGTTTCTAAAAACATTTATTCCATTTATTTACCAAGCTATTTGATCATTCCATAGGCAAATAATTAGGCTTTCAACCTTTAAATCTTAAAAATGTTTCCAATGTAATTTTGCATTTATTGGAAAATAAAGCTGGGTGAGTTTCCAACAAGCAGCTTTTTTTTTTTTTTGTCTTTTTGTCTTTTTTCCGTGTCCGGCAACGGGATCGCAACCCTCG